ATTCTCCTTTTTCATATTGTTTTAGATTATAAAATCATTTTAGAATCTAAGTTTTTTTGTAACTCTTACCATTACAGCCAATAGTGAGGACAGTCATAGGAGGTCCACCACCAACATCTGCCCCACCTGGACCGCCTGGTGTGGTAGGTCGCAAGCTTTCTTCAAAGTTTACTCACAACTATAACACGCCAAAACTTTCTTTACCAGGCTCCTGCTCCTGCCACAGCGCCCATTGTCGATTTCAGCAAACCGCCTCCTAGCTTACCGCCACCGGCTGGAGCCACACCCGCACCGACTACTTTACCGACAGTACACATAATGGGTCTGTTAATGGTCTAGCATTTTATAAAATATTTACATGTAACTTTGAGTTTAGACGGCCCCCCTGGAGTGGATATTATCGCGCCGCCAGGAGTTGACGGACCACCTGGAGTCGACCTAGAGCCACAGACGATCCCAACTCTTGGATCAGGAAGTGGTTTAGATATGTCCGTGCCTCCGCCAGGGTAACGACTGCTCCTCATGATCTCCTTTTTTCTTTTCAACACGCGCATCAAATTCCATTTTTACTAATAACATGCACTCACGTGGCAATTTCGTCTTATTTCCTTAAAATAATCTAACGCAGCTACGTTTCACTCATTAACTAGTTGATTAGTTGTTTTTTCAGTTTCAATCCTTCTTTGCCTCCGCCTGGAATGAGACCACCACAAATGGCAATACCAATGACAAATATGCCGCCTCCTGGCTTTAATACTATGCTACCACCACCAGGATACGGACAGAATCGATTCCCTCCTTCTGGTCCTGGAGGTGCTTGGTTTGAAAGATTTACATTTTTTTTGGATCGAAGAGACAGAACTTCAGAAATATTGAGAAAAGCTGGGAATGATTTTGGGCTATTTCATTTTCATTCCCACAGCTGAAGTATCGATAGATGCAAAAGATTTTCACGCCCCATATTTTATCGTTCGAGGCTTCGTCGGCTTCACATTATTTTTGTTTGTTTCTGTGAAAATGATGCATTATTTTTTTGCGTAAAGTATATATTCTATACAACTTACTTAAGGGATGAACAGACCGCCTCCTTTGATGGGACGAGACTTTGACTCTATGAGTCGCCGAGATTCAACTGATTTTGATGATCTGTACGTCGGTCAAGTATCTGTAAATTGGCCTTTCATTGATCCTTGTGCTTGCAGTGATGATGACCGAAGGCGTCATAAACGGCGGAGTCGATCGAGAAGCCCTAGGCGTGATTCCAGGTAAGCCATAATCTGTGAGACCTGTGCTTTTCTGCGTTTATATGGATAACTGTGTCACTGAGAGAATTTGATTTCTGCTTTTGCCCTAAAGAAGTTTTTAGGCTTCATTTTTTGTATATGCTCCCAAAGAATCAGCGTAAGCGGTTAGTTTTCAGTTTCAGAAGAGTTCGAGAGAGTGGACGAGACCGCGAACGTGATGATCGTCGGGATCGTGACAAGGATCGTGAAAAAGATCGCGACAAGGAGCGTGACAAAGATCGTGATCGTGACAAGGAGAGGGAACGTGAGCGTGGAACGGAACGGTCAGAGCGCAGTAGGCGGCATAGATCACGAAGTGGAAGCGCTGACAGTGAGTGATTAATTAATCATACAATCCATGTTAGATTTGCGTACGGTATGCTTTCACAAAGTTGCATTGCGC